GTTCCAGAATGTCGATTCCACCCAAAAATCACTATTTTTGAGCCAAAATCTGGGTTCGACAGCCAAATCGATAATAAAATCGAGTTTTAAAAATTAATTAAAGGGAGCATCTAATCTAATTAGATCAACATGAACCAGAAAAATAAATTCTTTAAAACACCTTAATTAAACAATAATTGCAAAAATTAAAAGGAGCGTGGCTCCGATACCGCTGTAGGGTTTCGTAGTGACCCGACACTACGCGGAAGGAAACCCACCAAGACCCGCCCCTTAATTAAAGCAATTAAACAAGCATAATAAACTTAATCAAACAAGATTAAGGACAAGAATTATACCTTTGACGCGTGCTTCGCCCCTAAAGAGCTCTTACTTCAAAATCCCGAAAAGACGAGATCTCCGACGGATCGTACTCTCGACCCGACCCGAGCGTCCTAAGTCTTGAAAGTTAGTCAAGACCCGGACAAAATAACTATGAGTTTTACGAATCAAAGGTTTACTCTTTTCTTAGAGTTGCCTTTTTAATTCCACTCAAGGTTGTATCAATTCCCAATACCAAGCTTGGTATTTATAGGGAAATGATCCTTTGATTCTCATTCCCCAACCAATGTGGGAGAATGTTTTATTTGCTAATTAATTTATTTCTAAAATAAATCAATAAATAAATGCAATCACAATTCGACAAATGTCAAAGGGAGAGAGAGTATTAGGTGAAGACCATGGAGAGGTGGGGGACCAATGCCTTGCTCCCTAAGGCTTTCCCAAAGCCTTGGTCCTCACTCTCCTCACAAACCGCCTCACCCAAGGCTGCTGCCCAGCTGCCAGCTAACATGCCAACTGGCTGTGCCAGCTAGCCCAGCATGCTAGCACAAGCCCAGCAGCATCGCTGATGCTTGCTGCTGTGTGCTGGCGCTGGTGATGGCTGGTGCGTGCTGGCGCTGGTGCTGGCTGGTGCGTGCTGACGCTAGTGCCAGCATCCCACGCATCATCGCTGTTCGCATGGCCCAGCATGCGTGCTGTTAGCGAGCCACGCATGCTGGCCTCTCGCCACGCACCACACTCCCACATCATGCGCGCCACGCATCTCTCTCGCACGCAATGCCTAGCATGCGTGCTGCTAGCGAGCCACGCATGCTTGGCTTGCCATTGCTAGCTCGCTGCCCCTCGTACACACACTCGCACAACCACACGCATCAGTCTCGGCCATGCACTGTGCACCATGCACGCACATGCCTCGCCCAGGCACCACGCACCACGCATGCGCCAGTGCCTAGCACTAGTTGTGCTTGGTGCGGGTGGTCCTGCCATGCGCCCAACATTATGCTAGGGTTGCTACGGCATCTGGCCATCCTAGGGCACGCATGGTGCACCTAGTGATGCTGCCTGGGCTGCGATGGTGCCCAGCCATCCTAGGCTACGCATGGTGCGCCTAGTGATGCGCATAGGCTTGCGATGGGCTGCTATGGCGCCCAGCCATCCTAGGTCACGCATGGTGCGCCTAATGATGCTGCTGGCTTGCGATGGCGCCCAGCATCATGCTAGGGCTGCGATAGCGCCTAGGCATGATGCCAGGGCTGTGTTGGCGCGCCTGGTGCTAGCGATAGCCAGCCATGGTGCCTAGCCATCACGCTAGGGCTGCGACAACGCCTAGGCATGATGCTAGGGCTGCTATAGCGCGCCTAGTGCCTTTGATGAGCTAGCCTAGCTTAGCTATGGCTACGCTCATACTTGTCGATTGTGATTTTGCGACGCTCGGTCTCGACGCCCTAGGCTCGATTTTGGACGTCTGTATTCGTAAAACTCTGTCGACTCATTAAATCCTTTCGAGTTAATTCGACGTCTCGGATCGGAGATTCGATTGGGTTCGACCCGAAGGGGTTAAGATTAAGCTGTAATATCAATTGTACCTTGATATTACTGATCGGAAGCGGCCTCCACCTAGGCATTCCGATCACTTGACCTTACTAAAGAATTAGCTCTGTAATAATTCTGAACCCTCTATCGGAACAATACACTTGTTGGAAGGACACCATTCCTTTCAATAATATAGGTTAGTATTGCCTAATTAGGGATTATTATCGCCTTTAATGACCCGAGTAGTATTTATTTCCATTAAAATTATTTTATTGGATATCAATGTGATATATTATTTGTAATTTATATATTTACATGTATGTTGTACTAGTTTTACTTAGATTTTAGTCTGTTGTTTGATTAATGTGTAGAAGTTTATAAGGAATTCATAAACAAGTCTTTAGTCATAGTCACTAAATTGTATAGTTTAGTTGAATAATATGCATCATTTATGTAATATAATATATACTACTTTAAATATTTTCAACACAACTAATCAACAATAATTTATTTTCCTCAATAGTACTTTTAAAAAAATTTGGCTCATTCTTTTATATATTTTTTCTAGGAAAAATTCATGGGAATAATCCTACCTTTAGGCCGTTCGTTTTTAATAATCCGACCTTTCGATTATTTTTTGATAATCCGACCTTTGGGTGCCTTTAATTTTTATTGGTCTCATTTGACCTGAAACCGGTTGAAGAGGTAAATTTTTTTTTTTGGTTTAAAATACACGTGTCATTACATAATTGGTCAAAATAAATAAATAAATAAATTAATTAATTAAAAAAACCCAAATAATTTGGCCACCATCCCCACCACCACCCAAACCACCACCCCCACCACCAACCAGCTTCCTACTCCCTATTCCCCTCCCCTGGCAGCAACCCCCACCACCGACAGCAACCAAGTCCCCCATGGATTCCGGCAACCTCAATTCCCCTTTTCCGGCCAACTGGTCCCCCTTCCCTCTCTTTCCGGCCAACACTCGAAAATCCTCGCAACTCCAACCAATGCAACCACCACACAAAACACCGCACCTCCTCTCTCAGCCCACGCACCTCCACCCTGCGCAACCAATTAGCCACCAACCTGCAACAAACAACCACCAATCAGCCACACCTTCTCACGCACAACCTCAAGACAGCAGTAACCCCATTACCGCCACTTCCAAACCCCTGCCGCTGCTCTCTCTCTCCACCTCGACATCAGCCAGCAACAACAATTAATCCACCCGCATCGAAACCCTAGAAACCCGAAACACTTAGCAAAGAGATGAGAAAGAGGTGGTAAAGCAGCGGTTTATGATTACAGGTGGTTTTCGAGAGTTTCGAGTGGGGTAGAAAGGTGGTAAAGGAGCGGTGGTTGGGGTTGAGTAGAGGGGTGGTTGAGTTTTGGGTGGAGGTGAGGTGGGTGGTCGTGGTTGGGGTAGCTAGGGAAGTTGGGAAGGGCAACAGGGTGGTTGGGGAAGGGCGGTGAAGGTGGTTGGGGTGGCTGGGAGTATGTCGGAATTCATGGAGGTGAGAAAGAGGGTAATGGCAGGGGAAAGAGGAACAGGGGTGGCTGGGAGTTTTTTTTTTCTGTTTTTTTTTTGTTTTTTAATTTATTTTTTGACCAATCACAGGTTGCCAAGTGTCAGGTAACTTGGTATAATAGGTCACTTGACCGGTTGGGACCAATAAAAATGAATGGGGGGTAAAGGTCGAATTATTAAAAAATAATCCAAAGGTGGGATTATTAAAAACGAATAGCGCAAAGGTGGGATTATTCCCATGAATTTATTCTACATGAGTTGTCTCATTTTTATATATTACAATTAATTTTGGAAAATTATTATTACTACCATGCATCGCACGGGCACTAATCTAGTTATTCAAAAACTAATGCCGAACACGTCCATAGTCAATATAGATGAGGTCATCACTAATTTCAAACTCGTTTCATTCTCTAAGCCTATAATTAGGCAAATTAGAAGTATAAGCCTCAATAGACCTCTAACTCGCTCCTCTCTTAAAAAAAAAACCTAAAATTTTCTCTGTTCTCTCTCTTCAAACCTAGCCACCACAGGAAAACTTAGGGGCTGCCTTCGATTTTTTATCGATGGTAAGCCCCAAATTCTTCCTTAATTTAATGTTTTTAGTCAATAAAGATAACCAACAGTGTGGTGATTATAGTCAGTCCCTCCGTGTAGGGTTTTGTCAGTCCCTCCGTGTAGGGTTTTGTCAGTCTCTCCATGTAGGGTTTAGCATAGTTTGTTTGTTTGTTTTTAATGTGTGCAGGGATACAATTTTGGAAGATTCGTCTAGCAAATTTGTAGAATTGCGGGTCTGTTAGAATAGGGGTGCAGATTTAGAAGATTCGTCTTGCAAATTTGCAAATCTTGATGGCCAATCAAGTTTTATCACTTTTGCGACTATACATCAATGGAGCTCCGTAAAAAACGATGTAAAGACATCTAAATTTATCCAGAAGCAGTGCAGAAGCGATGCCATTAGTTTATGGGTGTTTAATTCTTGTATTGAGAATTTAGATTTCGTAAGGGATGATTGTAAGTGCCGAATGACTATTACATAGTATTATTTAATGAAATCACCCCTCCTGTTCCATTAAAAAAAGAAAAAAGCATAAGCCTCAAAACTTTTCCTCCTCACGACTGCTACTATCTCTCTCTCCGCAACGCCAACACCAACGCCGGACCACCGTGTCACTGCCTACACCATCAAATATACTTGCATTTCAAAAGCCCTAAATATAATTTGAGAGAGGAGACGCTGCTGGTACTCCGCCATCACAGTAGAGCAGCGACCACATCACCCGTCTGAATCTGGTAGCTAAGTAGTTCGTCTGTTATATAAACTTGTTATACTTTCAATTTCATAATCTTAGGGTTTCTACCTTTTCCCTAATTTTTCTTGGGAATTGTTTTTTGTTTGTTTGTTGTTTTATTTGTAAATAGGGTGTACATAAACAGGACCAGACTTGAAAACCGACATGAACCGGACCTATTGGAACCGGACCTGATTTGATCTGTAGATTCAGGTTCAGTCCCGGTCCTTGAAAATCAAGGTTTCCAGTTCCAGTCCGGATCCGGTCTAAAACTAGAGCGAACCTGAAACCCGGTAAATTGTTCTTTTTTTTAAAAAAAAAATAACTTTTTTTTCAAAAATCAATAACTTTTCATTTCTAACCCTAACCCTAAGTTCCCTAACTCCCTCACTCTCTCTGTCTCTCAGAGTCTGAGCCGACACCCTCCCAGGCCCAGCCTCCCTCCCTCACTCTCTCAGGAGACCACCACGTCCACCAGACGCCCACCGCCCTTCTGCACGCTGCATCAGCCACCACGCGAAAAATCCGGGCATTATAAGTTTGTTTTGTTTTTTTTAATGTAAATCTAATTATATTTGGGTATTTTGTATTCGAAATATTGAATTAAGTGTGAGAATTTATATGTTTATTCATGTTTCAATTGCTTATAATGATTGTTTGATGTTTGCATGTTGAATTTCTTTTTTTTTTTTTTTTAGTTCATTTCATTCGAATTCATGTTTTTTTTTTTTGGTTTTTTTGAGTTTAAATAACTGTTTTCGATTTCATTTAGTATGTTAGTTCATTTGTTTCGAATTCTTGTTGAATTTTGGTTTCTTTCGAATTGTGAATTTAATTTCTGTTTTTTCTTTTTTTTTTTATTTTGGGGGTGGAGGTATTCGGGGCTGGATGCTCTAATGGTGATGATTCTTGAGGTGGGTCGAAGAGTAGAGCAACGAAATGGAAGGGGAAGATGAACAGGGTCTGATTTTTGTTTACTTTGTTTCATTTTCTTTTATTTTCCTTTTCTTTTAATTATTCTCCTTTTTCCCCTTTTCTTAATTCCTTTTTTATTTATTAGTTTTTAAGAGTTTTATTTCCCCTAATATACCCCTAGTGAAAAAAAAATATATATATAAAAATACAATTTATTTTGTAATCGTGTTCAATTCAGGGATTGATGAATTGGACCCCTTATTATGTTTTTTTTGTTAGGGTTTGCTTCATAATGCTAAATTGTAATCAAGTAAAAGCTTCTTTCTTTTGAAAACAAATAGAATTGATCTTTTTTTAATGGGTTTGTGGATGATTTTTATTCATTACTATTTTCATTAGATTTGTAGGTGAACTTATTTATTTCGAAGACATGGCTTCAGTTTCTGGTAAAGAAAAGAAAGAGAGGGAGAGAATACTTTCTAGAAAAGGAACAACTGTAAATCCAACAAAGCCGCCTGAATTTGGTAAGCCCTCTTCATTCAAAATTTTAGCGTTTCCACTTCACCCCGCTTCCCTTATTTCATGAGATTTGCAAATTATATTCACTCACTATGTAATTAGATATTACATACACTTATAGAGTTATAGTCGTATGAATTGATGATTATTCATTCATATTTCCATATTATTTTTTCATCACTGTATGTTTGGTTTTATTGTATAAGTAATAGAATTTTTGCAACGATTTTGGAGAAAATAAAGACATTTTCTTGAAAAGTTAAATCCCAATTTTTTTTTTTTTTTTTTTTTTTTTTTTTGCCCTGTTTGGTAAACAGAGGTTTGGGGTCAATTAACGGATTGAGGCTATATTAACCGTTAAAACATTGAATCCCCTCATATGGTAAATACTAAGGGATTGTTCTCTTCCGCTTCATTTCAGTTCAGTTCACTTCAGCTGCAATCAGTTTAGTTCAGTTCCTAATTTCCTTCTCTCATAAACAATTCAGAATCAGTTTAAATCAGTTCAATCTGTTAAATTATTTTCAGTAAATCAGCTAGGCCCTAAGTAGTGTTTGGAATAGTGGCTTCCATCCATTCATTCTGTTGGTCAATAGAGAGGTTTGAGTTACAATGCCCTTGTCTTATCTTCAAAGTTTTCTTCTTCCTCAACCCTAAAAAAATTGCCCATAATTTGCAAAAATCTACAACTACTTATATTTGAAAACAAGTATATGCTTTAATAATAGTTTATACTTAAAAGAAAATTACATGCTTAAGTAGAGTTATTAGAAAATAATATCAATATAGTGAAATCAATTTTTTCAAATAGATTTACATTAAAGAAAACACTACTATCAATTCACCTGAAACATAAAATTACCATCTCATATAAGAGGGAGAATAGATGTGGGATATAGAGGGAAGACAAATGAACCTTCAAGAACTTTTGTTGCATGTGAGATTTAAACAGTTCAAGATCTTGCTTGAAGCTATTATATATGTGAAGGCCAAAGAAAAAAAATTGCAAAGAGAAACAAAATTGAAGATGAAAGAAAGGAGGCAAACAAAGTGAAATATGGGTGCAGAATCGAAGATGGACTACTAAAGAAAACAAACAAGGGTGAACTAAGGGGTGGGGATGTGGGCTTAGGAGGAAGATGAAGAGTGGTAAAATACAAATTAAAATATTAAGCATTCTAGCATAATTATAATTTTGATGTTTAAGATATTCTTTTCTATTTATCTATTGTATAAGTGTTTTGTTTTAAAATTGTACTATATATATATACTCTAAAACTAATTGTGCTAAACAACAAATGTTTATTTTTGTTTTTGTTATTTTACATACTTACGAAGCAACTAACTAGGTTATACCAAACACATGAGACATGAGTCACATGACTATAATTTTTTGAACATAGATGGTCTTTTAATTTCAATGTTAGTTTATTTTACACTCCCTTTGTTTTCTTTATTTATTATTCTTTTAATTATAATAATAATTATAATTATGCATCACTTGCCTTATTCAAGTGTGTTTTTTAATGCATCACTTTTATATTAGGTAACTTTATACCATGTTTTATTATTCTTTTTCCCTATTACCTCACCGAATATGTTTTTATCTGCTTTCTCCTTGTTCCTCATTTAAATGATTAAAAAAACTACTTTCTTACATACTATTTTCTTTCATGGTTCATATGGTACTTTTATCAAAATAAATTAATCATCTACCTTTTCCACTTGTACAGTATAATAATAGAGCAAATAAACTCTCTTAAAATTAGGGTGAATGGAACTAATGCATTTTTTTTAAAAAACGGAGGGAGTATCTAAAAAGTTCACTATTTATATAATTAACAAAAAGTCCAATTATTTTGCCAATAGGTCAATTTGTACTATCAATTACAAAGTAGATTGCTAGATTTACCCCGTTTTTTTCTTTCAAATTGCTATTGCAATAAGTTAGTTAAATCAGAAACACCCTTCGTTTCTAAGTAGTTGCATCACTTTGACGTGACTTTTTTATAAATATATACAAAACAAATGTTATTATATAAAAGGAAAAATTGGCCGCAACAACACCAAATATGACAAAGGTGCATGTAGTATCACAACCTTTCGAGGGAGCACTCCACATCACAAACTATGCACTTGGTGTATATAACAATATAAATGACACCGACAAAACTGAGATTTCTTCAAAAAGTGGAATCTTCAATAGTTTTAATGCTTTTTATACATTTTTTTTTAATATATTTTTGTTTGATTTCATCCTACTTGATTTTCTATCTCACGTGACTAAGTAGTCTTCTCTTCCATTAATTCTTTTTCTTTAAACACTTTTTAACCTCCACCATTAAAGTGGATTATTTCAAAAAAAAAAATATCGCTATTATTTTCCTTCGTTTGCTTCATCAGCTACTTTTTTTTTTCTTACACTTCACATGATTGACTTAGTTTCCTCTTCCACTGTATTTAATTTTCTCCCTTTAAATTATTATTCCCTCTGTTTTGTAATAATCGTAATAATAGAGAGGGTAAAGGTTTAGGAAAATTATAGGGTGGGACCAAATGGAGAATTTTATAGTATAAAGTATAGTTAGAGGGAATATATTTAATTGTTAGTAGAAAAGAGAAATAATGAAAAAGTAGTGTAAGTGGGGCTGGGAGGAGAGAGAAATAATAAAATAGTAGTGAGTCATTAACAAATAAGGAAGTGCTACAATTATTATGAAACGGATGAAAAAGGAAAGTGTTGCGATTATTACAAAGTGGAGGGAGTATCTCTCTCCACCTCCACCATTAAAGTGTTGTACATCAAAAACCAGAAAATCAATTTGGCTTAACCTAAAGTCTAATTCTGATATTGTTGTTTGAATTAAGTATTTTGAAGCATTTTGTGGGGCTTGGTATTAGAAATTGACATATGTATCCTGAAATTTGGTGGAATAAAATGGTTTTCGGATGATTTTCTTTTATTTATCAATTTAGTATTTGTTAAGTGGAGAGGGAAAGGAACCTAAGTCAATCACATGAAATTGATATTTAAAAATAAAAAAGTAACAAAAGAAACGAACGAAGAAAATAATAGCGATTTTGTTTTTTTTTTTGAAGGAATCCACTTTGATGGTGGAGGTTAAGAAGTGTTTAAATGAAAATAACTAATAGAAGGAAGGCTAGCTTAATCACGTGCGATGGAAAATCATCTAAGTTTAATTTTTTTTTTTAAAGAATAATAGAATAATGAAAAATCCACTTTTCTCGTGGAATCTTAGTTTGTTGGTGTCATTTATGTTGTTATGTGCACCCAAGTACATAGTTTGTGATGTGGACGCATCTTTGAAAGGTTGTGCTGCCACACGCACCTTTGTCATAGTAGGTGTTGTTGCGGCCAATTTTTTCTATATAAAATGTCGTTGGATTAGTCATAATGTAAAAGGTTAGGTATTGGTAAATTTGTAAGTAAAAAATGATGCATTTATTTAGAAATAGTGAGAATAATACAAATTGCTATTTAAAATTTCAAACCAACTACTACAAATTGCTTTTCAAACCAACTAGTATAAATTGTGACTTGCGAATTGCCAAGGCATCACGTTCATGTTTTTGGATAGTCAGTCATATGAATAGAGTAGTTTCTTGCCTGTAATTCTTTCCGATTTCCCAACAAGTATTTCATTTTCAATTTTTTATATGTTTAATTGAACTTAATTATTTTTTCTTTTACTTTATTTTTTGAATGGTTTACAAAATGTGTGATTCTTGTAGGTGCACCTAATCCTCTAGATTACGTAGAACAATCCCTCTATGAATCATTTAAGGATCAAGAGAAATAATTTCAAGATCCACTCTATGATGAACAGCAAAAGAAAGAGAGAATGGATAAAGGGATTGACGGTCATCGTGTGCATATTAGATCTGAACCAGTGATTGAGGTTCTTTCTGTGAGTCTCTGCAACCTAAACCAAAACGATTGCACTTTGAACGCCAGCAACAAAGACGCATGGGAGATCTATGGTACTGTTTATGTCCATGATGGTATGGATCATATGGGTATAGGCAGCAACCGTATTGTTTTTTTTCATCGAGAGGAGGATGTTGATGACCCGGAGATCATCCCTTTGGTTGGTGGTGCCTTAAGCCTAACTGGGCCTGATAGTGTTATGTCAATGGTTAAACCAGTTATTGGCATACATTTATCAGACAAGCTTACAGGTGAAACCCTCATTTTTAACTATGTTCCTTTGCTCAAGACTACGGATACGGCCGGACAACATCATCAGTTAGAACAATTCCACAAAATTACTGTTCCTGGTACTGCTTGTAGTGCTGAGGTGGAGTATCTTGGTCTAACATTTGGTGTTTATGCCCATGTCAAGGTCCAACTCGCTAAGCAACAAGTTGTGAGAAGTGTAAGCTATGAAGAGGATGAGGAAGATGAGGAATATCTTGATATTTATGGCACAATTTCTGCTGCATATAATCTTTATTATTCAGAAAACAAAGTTGATTGCATTAATCTTTTTGAAATCAAGGAGGATTCTGACAAGTCTGAAAAGGTGAGAATTAGGTTTCCTGTTACTGAAATTACACTGTCCAGATCTGTGGTTGCTGTGCCTGCGTATTCACTTCTCACAATTCAAATGAAATTATGGGATCGTGCTAAAAATGAGTTAATTGTTGAGGGCAGCTATGACTTTGAAACGTGTAACTATCCTACAAATATGATTATTTTTGGCCAAAATTGTATAGATGCTAAAGTGACTATTCATTGGAGGGAACCATTTCGTCTGGATGAACCACTTATCAAACAGCATGAATTTGACCCTCAGGAATCCCTCTCTATCCTGGTAAATGTCTGTTTTTTTATTTTTTTTGTTTGTTTTTATCATTTTCATTTTAATATCATTTGGCTTTTCCTTTATCACTTTCAGCTAGTCTTGGATGTAATTACTGTTTCAATGCTGACTTACTCGCATTTATGTTCAGCCTAACTCACCAAGTATCCCAGTATTTCCTGTAGCAGAGGTGTTTTTTGTATTTATCGGTCGCCAAAATGAGGAGCAGTTGAATCTCTATGGCATGGTTAACTTTTGCAGCACCTATGGCGTATTTAATCTCTTCAAAAGAGACAAAACTGATCCTGTTATCTTATCCCCTGGCTGCAATTTATTACCTCTAAAAGGCCCTGGAGATGCTCTCATACCAGGGGACAGTTTTTATGTGTCAGTAGACCTTGAGGATGTTGAGGGTCGTGTGTCGATCAAAGGGCTAGCTCACTCGAGTGTTGGAATTGATAAACATTTGAGTTTTTGGCATGATTGCCTCTTGTGCTCAGTTATAAGAAGTGTGCAAGAGCATAGCTTTGCGGCTATACATTACACGGTCTTCTCTCATGCATTGAAGGCTACACTAAAGATTCGTTTCCTTTTCAATGGTGAACATTCTACTCAAGCTTGTTGCAAAATTTATGGTAATCTTGTTGTTAGCTATGGTGAATATGGGTACGAAACGCCTTATGAGAAATTATATCATTGGATTGTACCGTGTTTGCTAATTATAGTATAACTTGTAATGTATTGTACTTGGGCCTATTCCGAATCCTCAGATATCAATCTAATCCGAAAATTTCAGATATTCGAAATCTTTCGGATTGGATATTACGGTATCCGTTATCCAATATCCGTTATCTAATATTAATTACAATTGGTTAATATTTAATGATTGTTCTCTAATTTTATCCCTAAGTTGTAAAGATATTTTAACAAAATAATAGTCCTTTTGCATTTCCTCAAAAAAAAAAAAAAAAATAAGTCTTTTTGCAATAAAATAATCGTCAAATGACCATTCAATTGTCACATGATGCCTAGTAGCCCGTAGATAATACATATAAAGTCCACAAGTTCAATTATTAAAGTCCACAAACATGAATAAAATGTGATTTAGCTAGAGAAAAGTTATACTTCCTTCATTTCTAATTACTTGATCCATAGTCTTTGACTCAATATTTAACAAGGGAGAGAATTTATAGATGGTGACCCTTAGTGCACATGATTTGCTTTATTATCCTCAAATGCTGTCAGGAAAGTCTTAGTACATACCCGTACATGACATATCAGAGTATGTTGGTCATTTTTTGTGAAATTTAAATTTCAGTAGTATATTTTATATACCATTACAAACATACATAGGTACCATTAAAGTCTTAATGGTACTATTAGATATCACATTAGTCCCACTAAAAGTTACATTTTTTCTAGTAGTACATATAGAGTTTCATGGACGTGGTAAATTTTAATGATATTAATGATGTAACTGATAGTACCATTAAGACTCTAATGATACTATATATATGTTTCTAATGGTGCAAAAAATATACCATTGAAATTTAAAATTTCACAGATAATGACCAAAATACCCGGCGATATATGAGGCTCATACATAACGGGTATGTACCCGCTATCTTCACATATACTTTATAAGGATAACTTAGAGAATTTGTCTACTAATAGCTTACCAAATATAGTATGAGACTATGAAACAAATAATATAACATTTCATTTTAAAAATGTTAATCAAGTAAACAGAAAAAAGGAAGAATCATCCACCTTAATGTGATATTGAGATTCCCAACGGGTCTCAAAATGGTTGACTCCATTCAATAGTGATATTGATGCCAATTTGATCTCCTTCAATGGTCACACTATTACCAACACCATTAACAACTTGAAATTCCCTTGTGCCCTTAACAGTTGAGTAAAACCACTTGATTGACAACTTAAATTTACAGCAATACGCAAAGACGAATCAATCGGAACAGCAACCACAGGTCTTGAAAGCTCCATGTCAAATTCCTTACATGATACTTCTAACGAATTGTCTTCGGGCCTCTCAAAAAGCAAAATCCGATGATATAATTTCTCATAAGGCGTTCTACTCCCATATTTACCATAGCAAGCAACAAGATTCCCATAAATTTTGCAACGAGCATCAACAGACTGTTCACCATTGAAAAGGAAACGGATTTTTAGCGTAGCCTTCAGTGCATGAGAGAAGAGTGTGTAATGAATAGCCGCAAAGCTATTCTTTTGTCCATGCCCAATAACAGAACACAAGAGGCAATCTTGCCAATGATCCAAATGACCAGGATAATGAAGATTACTTTGAGCTAACCCTTTGATCGACACACGACCTTCAACATCCTGTAGGTCTACTGACACAAAATACCTGTCCCCTGGTACTAGAGCTTTTTTGGGACCTTTCAGAGGTAAGAAATTGCAGCCAGAGGACAAAATAAAGGGATCAGTCTCGTCTCTTTCAAAGAGATTAAGTAGACCAAAGGTGCTGTTATAGTTAACCATGCCATAGAGACTCAACTGCTCATCATTTTGGCGACCTATAAAAACAGAAAACACCTCTACTACAGCATCTACTGAGATATTTGGTGCGTTGGGCTGAACATAAAAGTGACTAAAGTCAGCGTTAAGAAAATACATTATAGACTAGCTACAATTGATAATGGAAAAGCCAACTAGGACAAAACAAAACACACCAACACATACCGGCAAACGGAAGCGTATCTTGTTCAGATATCCATGGGATTCGACACATGGCTCATCCAGAAGAAATGGTTCCCTCCATTTAATAGTCACTTTAGCATTCACACAATTTCGACCAACAATGATCTTATCCGTTGAATAGTTAGAAGTTAGAAAGTCATAGCTGCCCTCTACAATTAACTCGTTCTTAGCACGATCCCATAATTTTAATTGAATTGTGAGAAGTGAATATGAGGGTACAGCAACCACGGATCTGGACAGGGTGATTCCATTAGTAGGATATATAAGGTTCACCTTTTCAGTCTTATCTGAATCCTTGTTGATATCAAAAAGAGTAAAGCAATTAATCTTGTGTTCGGAATCATAAAGATTATATTTAGCAGAAATTGTGCCATAAATATCAAGATCTTGTTCGTCCTCTTCATAGATCACACTTCCCGCAACTTGTTTTAAGAGTTGGACCTCAACATGGGCATAAACAGCAAATGTAAGTGCAAGGTACTCCACCTCAGCACTACAGGCAGCACCGGGAACAGTAATTTTGTGGAATTGTTCGAACTGATGATGTAGTTGAGGTGTATCAGTAGTCATGAGCAAAGGAGCATAGTTAAAAATGAGGGTATCGCCTGTAACCTTGTCTGAAAGATGTATGCCAATAACTGGTTTATCCATTGACATCACACTATGAGGCCCAAATAGGCTTAAAGCACCGCCAGTTAAAGGGATGATCTCCGGGTCATCAATTTCCTCCTCTCGTTCAAATAATACAACACGATTACTGCCTATACCCACACGGCCCATAGAATCATGGACATAAATAGTACCATAGAGCTCCCATGATTCTGAAGTGTAGTCGGTTTGGTTATGGTTGCGGAGCCTCACAGAAAGAACCTCAATCACTGGTTCAGATCTAATATGCTTAAGATGTTGCCAAACCCTATTATCATCCACTATCGACTCTATTGAATTCCACATTCTCTCTTTCTTTAGTTGTTCTTCTGAGGGAGACTTTTGGGATTCTATTATTTCATCCAACTCATCGTCATCAGAAACATCTAGGGTAAAAGCTCCACCTACAAGATCCCGTGGCCAAAATTAAAATAAAAATAAACAGCACTGCGGTGAATAAATTTTGCAAAATATTTGGGATTTTAAATTTTCTATGTAAATTTTTTTTTAATCATTTAAGTAAAAGGGAAATAATAATATGGTAGATGTATGTGATTAATCAGTAATAACACAGTGAGTGAAGATAATTTGCTAATCACATGAGAAAAAGGGTGAAAACCCTAGAATTTTGATATATTACAAGTATAATTGACCTTACCAAATTGAAGTTCAAGCGGCGTTACTGTTCTCTTTCCAGAAATTACACTAGCCATGTCTTCAAAACACCTACAAATTTAAGATAGAAACTTTATGTAATCCTAAAAAAAAAAAATCAGGGGTCCAATTCCTCAATTGAACACTATCACAAATAAAACAACAAACCAAAAAATTCAATTCCCAGAAAAATCTTAATTAATCTGACGAAAAGGTGGAAACCCTAGGATAATGAAATTGAAAGTGGAATAAGCATCTAACCTTAGAGACTGCTTCAATGGAGGAGAGAAAGCTCAGAAGCCGCTTCAATTGAGAATTTCGCGTACGCTTGACAAACCAAACCCTGCAACACATTAGCAACCAAAATTGACTCAATTATCAAACTAGAATCCAAAAATTACGTTAAATTCTTCGAGTATCTATAACCAATAGTTCAATTATCCAACTTCGAAGAACCCTAAATTGAGTATACACTGACAATTAAATACAAGATTAACACTAGATTGTCAAAATTAATATTAGATGATTAAAGAAGAAGAAGCATCTAACCTTAAAGACTGCTTCAATGGAGGAGAGAAAGCTCAGAAGCCCCTTCAATGGAGAATTTCGAGTACGCTTCAATGGGGGAGAGAGAGAGGAAGGAGTACTGTGTCCTGCGTGAAATAGATCTAAAGGGGAAAAAAGAAAATAACATCACGAATCATTTTTGTTTTTTATTTTTTTTTTTAAAAAAAAAAGAACAAAAAAATAGTGTCCTAGGACCCACAATGTGGGTCCGCCACTGTATATAACAGAGGAACTAATAATTACCGGATTCAGACGGTCCTGCTCTGCTGTGACGACGGATTAACAAAGGCGTCTCTTCTCTCTCCTCCTTCCTCTCAAATTATACTTGGGCTTTCAATAATTGATGGGACCGCCCTATTGAGAAAAAAACTCGTTAATTAAGGATAAAATTGTAATACTACAGATAACATCGTTAATAAAACTTAGAGGTGATCATTAGGCGGGCCGGGTCGAGCCAGGCCAAGTTTTGGACCAGAATTTTTGTGCCCAAATCCGCCCAAAATGGTCAGGTCGGGCCTAAAAAATCAACTAAATATGCATAAAGACGCATTCCCAAACCCGCCCAAAATAAATAAATTTTCGGGCCAGGCTGGGCTAACTTTGATCACCTCTATTAAAACTATAAAATCAACGGCTATTTCACCAAACGCCACTAAGCACTTTAATAATTCACCAAATGTTATCAAGGTTTTCAAAATTCACCAAATACCATCGAGTTTTAAAATAATTCACCGAGTGTCATTAATGACTGACGGTCGTTAACTCTGTTAGTCATTAGGATTTAATCATGACACATGTGGACACGTGTCAGTCAGCTATTTGTTTTAAAAAAAAGATAAATAAAAACAAAATTAAAAATTAAAAAAAAAAAAAAAAAAAAAAAAAAAAAAAAAAAAACCCTAAATCCTAACCAAACCCAGCCCCACCACTGTAACCACCTGCCAAAGCCAATCGACAACCCAAAGCCAACCGCCAGAACTCCTTGACCTCCTCCTGGAACCCTCTAACCTCCCGTCAGAACCCGCCGGAACCCCCTGACCTCCCTCTTGAACCCCTTGAACCCACCAAAACCGCCGACTCCACTTAATCCCCCTTTCCTCCTCCCGAAAAAACACCCCAGCCACCGCAACCGTCTCACGCAATGCCCAGAACTCCGCCAGCCCGACTCCAACACCCAGACGACGACCCACGGAACTTCGCCTGCCCGACGACCCTGCCATGATCCCCACCCCAGCCCCCGCAACCACTTGATGCACCAACAAGACGCATCACCGTAGCCACCGAAATCGACAATGGAAACCCAGAATAAAACCCGACCATGGAAACCCTTCACCCTCAAACGACCGAAATCAACCATGGAAAATCCAGAATGCTCGATTTCTATGGCCGATTTCATCGTTTCAAGGGTGGAGGATAGGAGGGGCGGTTTTGCGCGGTGGTCGGAAAACGATGGATGTTTTTTCGTGAGGGGATAAAGCGGAAGGCGCTAAGTCGCTAGTTTTAGGGGTGGTGGTTGGGCTGGTTTCGACGGTGAAGGTGGGACAGAGAGTACCGGCGACTGGGGTTGGGCTGCCGGCAGCGGCAGTGGTGGTGGTGGGGCTGGGTTAGGGTTAGGAATTTTAAAACAAAATTATATTTTTTCTTTTTTTAAGATTTTTTTAAAAAAATTGAACCAATCATAGCATGACATGTGTCATGATTAAACCCTAATGACTATCGGAGTTAACGTGTCGTTAGTTATTATTTATTAATGACACTCGGTAAATTTTTTAAATACTCGGTGGCATTTGGTGAATTTTGAAAATTTGGTGAATTATTAAAGTGTTCAATGGCATTTGGTGAAATAGCCATAAAATCAAAGTTAGAACAAAAAAGAGCCATTTTGGCCTTTTTTTTTAATGCCTAAAGTTGCTCAAATGCCTCTAAAATAAAGTATCAGACAAAGTTAGATTGTGTCATCGAATCATCAATCTAAAATAAAATTTGATACTGCAATTAGTATATTACTACATCCAATCTAAAACTCCAATTACAACAAATTGAAAAGGAATAAGAAAAAAAGGCACAGAGTTTGATGAAAAAACCTCAATTTCACACACTAATCATGTCCATGTGGATTGATAATAGGACTCTGGCAGTTGGACAAAGGGTAGGATTACCAATAGAGTACCATTAACATAAATATTTTTGTATAGCTTCTACTCTTTAGTAAACAACTTACCATATGATCATATATTAATGGCTTCATGTTAATTATTACCATTATGCTTGCATTCATTATTAAGATACTTTTACCAAATTGATTGATGTTAATATAGTAAGCTTCCTTCAGTGATAATCATAATTAGAAATGTAAATTACTGTGACGGCGGATTTACGACGGCGTCTCCTCTCTCTCCTCCTTCCTTTCAAATTTTACTTGGGGCTTTCAGTTATTGATGGGGTCGCCCTATTGAGAAACAAAACTCATTAATTTAAATTACGACTATTTCACCAAATGACACTGAACGCTTTAATAATTCACCAAATTTCATCAAGGTTTTCAAAATTCACCAAATGACATCGAGTTTTAAAAAAATTCACCAAGTGCCATTAATGACTGATGGTTGTTAACTCCGTTAGTCATTAGGGTTTAATCATGACACAAGTGGACACGTGTCAGTCAGCTATTTGTTTTAAAAAAAAGATAAATTAAAATAAAATTAAAAATTAAACAAAAAAACTCTAAATCCTAATCAAACCTAGCCCCACCACCGTAACCACCTGCCAAAGCCAACCACCAGAACTCCTTGACCTCTTGCTGGAACCCCCTAACCTCCCGCCGGAACTCCCTGACCTCCCTCTGGAACCCCTTGACCCCACCAAAACCGCCGACTCCACTTAATCCCCCTTTCCTCCTCCTGAAAAACCACCCCAGCCACCGCAACCGTCTCACACAATGCCCAGAACTTCGCCTGCCCGACTCCACCACCCAGACGACGACCCACAGAACTCCTCCTGCCGGACGACCCCTGTAACACCCCCAAATCTCTCTCTACGTAAATTGTAGAAAAATACGTATAAACACCGTAGAGATAAGTTTGGGCGTATTACCGCCGCGTATGACGCAAGGCTTATACAAAAAAAAATACTTTTGCAGCGGAAAACTTTATTCTTTATTAAATAACCATAATAAAATTCGTTCATAATTCGTGACACAAAAATGACTCAAACTTTTCCTAACTAGGTGAAATTCCCGTGGACTCCGTATGCATCAATTAATTTTCCACCTGAAAATTCACCTGCTTACCATAAATGATAAACAGGGCAAAGCCAAAACAAAAGCACGTATTAGCCAAGTATGCTAAGTAAGTCATGTGTAAGATAAGTAAAACGTAATTTAAATCATTTTCGTTTAGTTAATAAAAGAAGTACCAATGCCGTACTCAATAGAACTTTTTCAATCCAATTCTTTTAGTACGAATTAAAACTCAATCGATTCATTCCAACCAATTCCTCACTAAGTGTGCACACCCCCCAAGTGGTTTACTTTATAATCAAAGGCCAAACTTGAGGAAAGACTAGGTCATGCAAAGTCCATAGTCTTCTCTAAACCATTCCCTAAGTGGGATTCAACATATCGATTGATTTATTTAAAAATTCGTCTTAAAAAAAAAAATTCCATCACACTTACATAACAACAACCTTGCAAATCATTTCCAATAATTTTCCAATCACAATTTAAGGTCCTTTTGATTCAAATCCAAATCATTTAAATCAATCCGTCATGATTTCATAATTTAATACGGAACATAATATCATAAATTCATATGAAACATAAAAACATGATTTAATACGGAATGTAATAAAATATGATTTGATAAGGAACATAATAATTTATAGTCTCATAATAAATCATAGTTTTATACGGAACATGAATTATAGTTCCACAAATAAAATTTCATACGGAATAAATTATAATTTCATACGATCATAAAATGTAGTTTCATAATCAACTTTCGAAGGTATCAAACCACATAACGTACCTTGATCAATCACGAGCGATTCACAACTACTTCTCTAAATCACGAACACCCTACACATAATTATAACCTTAATTAATATAAGGTTATCAAATAAACACAACAATTTAATTAAACTACCCTATATGTGCATGAATTAATTATCATTATATAAAATAATTTTCTGTTTATAAATTAAATAATTTTCTGTTTTTATAAAATCAATTTGTATTAGTAATAATATTTAGGAGAATAATTAGTAATAAGATTAAGAGAAAGGAGGATTAAAGGATGGTGGAAGGACCAATGCAAGGGAGGAGCAAGGGGCTGCTGGTGGCTGGAGTGCCGCCTGCTGGTGGCTGCCGGCAGGGGCGCAGGTGGTGGCCGCCGGTGGTGGTGGCCGAAACTTTGAGGGAAGGAGAGGAGAAACAAGGGGAAGAAGAAGAGTATTCTTGAGGTTTTTGGTGTGATTTTTGGGGTGTATGAAAGGAGTATTTATAGGTGTTTAGGGGGTGGATTTATGGCATTTTAGGGTTTATAATTTATGGAAGTTTTTGATCATGAAATTACTTTTGGCAAATTATAAGCTTGGAGTGCAAGGAGAATATTTTTTTTAGGTGTAAGAATGGAAGTAAGAGAAATTTAAAGATTTTATTAAAATTAAAAAAAATTTAAAATCTTTGTAGAAAAACCATGAATGGTCAAAAATATTGAGCAAAATATTACTCAATATTTTCGGACCTATTATGTTAGTTTAGGGATTTTATAAAATAATTTATTTGTCAAAACTATGGATTTAATAAGAATAAAAATCAATTTCTTGCTAGATTATTAGGGTGGCCGAAAATAATAGGTATAAAATCAGATTTTTAAATTCAAAAAATGCCTCTAATTTTATTAATTAATATAGTTTTGTTTTATTGTTTATTTAATCAAAATACTATTTAGTTTATTTAATTAAAATAAATGATTTAGGCGCCAAAATTCAAATATCATTTTGGCTCCAAAATTAAAATACTCTCAAGTTAGAAAATACGTCGAAATACAAAACTAAAATATTCTCAAGTTAGAAAATACGTCGAAAATACGAGACTAAATACTTTTTAATTTAGAAAATGCCTTTCAAAAATACGGGGTATTACAGTCTACCCCCCTTAAAAGAAGTTTCGACCCGAAACTATGCAGAGTGATGAGGAAAGTAGAAAGAATTTCTTCTTTGAAAATAGCTTTTTAGTTAATTAATTTCATGCACATGCTAAACATTCTAACTAGACACAGCCTATTGCTAACTTAGAGGGTTGGGAACAGGTGC